ATTGCCATATTCAACTCCAACAGATTTCTTTTGACCTCATCACTGGTGAGCTTAAATTCCTCCAAGGTTGCTTGGTTTGCCGCCGCCTCATTTAGTACAGGGGCTTCTCCTTGCTCTATTGTGAAGACCTTGCTCAACTGTGTGTGTGTGTGTGTGTATTCACTTATGTGTTCCTGCAGGATCGAGTTTCGGCTCTTAGACCCATCCTTTGCCACCGCCGGTTGTCTAATAACAATGATTCCCGACTTGTGTTTCTATCACATCATTTATAATTTCAAAAGTAAATTAAGTGTGTGAGAGAGAAAAATAAAGTTTTGTATGCCGTTAGGCAGTTGGTGTCGGCGGTTGGGCTGAGGGAAGGGTTGTGCACTTTCACTCACGGTAATGCTGGGATGAACGCACTAAAGTGGGCGTTTCCACCATGTTGGGAGAGAAGCACTGCGGTGTAATACGCAAACGGGAGCGTTAGCGTGACATTCCTTAGATTGATTGATTGATGAAGATTAAGCCACCCAAGAGGTGGCACGGGCATGAATAGCCCGTAAGTGGTAGCCCTTTCGAGCCATTACCAGTATCAAAAGATGATACTGGAGATCTGTGGAGGCGCAACTGCACCCTGCGTGACGGGAGATGTCTCCCGGACCAAGTGGTGACCAAATGGTGACATTCCTTAGTATAGAACCATTAATATATAGCCGCTACCTTATTAAGGGGTGCCCATTCTTACGGATGATTTTTTCCCGGATGAATTTTTGACAAGAAAACAGGCCTGTCATTGAAGGCTGAATAGGATAGCATGTTCCATAGGTTTGTTGCTGTTTGGGAAAGTTTAGTTTAGTTCATTTCTTATGCACTCCATACCTATCTTTTGGGGGATAGTGGAACGAGTTACAGAGTTAGTTAATTTATTATGCATCCTATACCCATCCTGTGGGCGGAAGTGGAAAGGGTTACAGAGACACATAATGGGCTCAGGGACTGAACTCCACAATTCATTTAGCTAAGCAAGTTACAGTCTTGAAGAGCTAGTTACAAAATTTAATGCATACCGTCACATGAACAATGGGCTCGAGACCGACCACAAGTACAGTTTCTAAATTAAGTAACTAACATATGTGGAGAGCTAGTGTCACAATTTATATATTTATCCTGCACACCGCCCCACCTCCCATCCAGTGGGCAGCGATGGATAGGTTACAGTCACTTAGTTACTACCTACAGTTAGCAAACTGGGGATATTTGGCTAAGATTTCTGGTAGCAGATCATTGTGAATTAAAAATTTACACATCACTGGAACATTTGTTATAGAATTGTCTCTGAATACACGTATCTTTTCGCACTCCATCACATAATGACAGAGGATGTGAGAATAATCTTGTTGACACAGTTTACATTTGGTCAGGTCTACATCAGCAGGTAATAAAAATTCCCAGAGACACTTATAGCAGAGTCTAAGCCGAGCAGTAATAACATCTAGAAGTCTACTGATTTTATTGGATGATCCAAAGATGTGTGGCTCTTCTTGCATGATAGTATGGTGGTAGATGGAATTTCTGGGTCGATTTCACTTTGCCTCAGATCTACAAGATTTTGTTAAAGTTCTCGGTGTACTGCTGCTCTCAGATTGCTCATTGGCAATCCAAGGTTACACTCAACGTCTCCTTTAAAGGCAGATTCATTGGCTAACTTATCAGCCGTATCATGCATTCGGAGGCCAACGTGAGATGGAGACCACATGAAATGGACTCTGTTACCATCATTAATAATTTTGTTGTATTTGCGTCTAGCTTCGGACACGAGCATGTTACAGTTAGTTGTTAGAATTAAAATTAAAATTACTATTTCTTTGGTGTACCTCAAATTCTACACATTTTTTTTAATATATGAAGAAAACGTGCAAATCTGGTAGGTATGGTTTGATGACTAACTAGGCTACATATCGATCCCAATAATTTATGCAGTGTAAATAATGAACTGTGAACTTTAGAGTGATAGACACACCACTATCCCAAGCCTTTTGCATCGAAGGTCAGCATCTCACAAGAGATGCTGATAAGATCCAGGAGATCTAACAAGAGCTGGGACATACTCTCCAACACTTTCCCTGTGATTGCCCCGTTATCAGTGATTTCAGACCAAATGGTATGAGGTACTTTGAGCTCTGTAATTACCTCATACACTCACGAATATTGGAAGATATTCTTGTGCTGTACCTAGATTTTGCTAGTGGATGCTAATAGATCAGACAGTCTCCGTGGTGTAGTGGTAAGACACTCGCCTGGCGTTCCGCGAGCGCTGTCATGGGTTCGTATCCTGGCCGGAGAGGATTTACTGGGCGCAATTCCTTAACTGTAGCCTCTGTTTAACGCAACAGTAAAATGTGTACGTGGATGAAAAAACGATTCTTCGCGGCAGGGATCGTATTCCAGGGACCTGCCCGAAACGCTACGCGTACTAGTGGCTGTACAAGAATGTAACAACTCTTGTATATATCTCAAAAAAACAAAAAAAATAGATCAGTCTCGCACTTCATGTTCTCTCCTTGGCTAAACCTAAGACTACCCATCCTGTGAGATGGGGATATTAGATGAACTTGAAGCTAGTGTTTAATCTACACTTTGTAATCTTTCATATAGAATATAATAATAATAATAATAATAATAATAATAATAATAATAATAATTTTTATTTAGGCAAAGGTACATACATAAAGAGATTTTACAAAGTTTGTTGGCTTTATAGATAAGAGCTAGTACATACAATGCCTAAAGCCACTATTACGCAAAGCGTTTCGGGCAGTTATGGTAGCAGCACATTGCTGTGTATACTTAAACTTGTTAATAATAATAAAAAAGCATCTCACAAAGTGGATTACTAAAACTGCAAATGAGCTCATAATACTGTACAAAACAATTCTATTCAGTAGTACTGAAACACTTTTTATTGTTTTCATTTGTATTTTTTCTTGAACATTCTCTAATTTGTTAGCTTCACTTTTTTTTATTAACAAGCTTAGGTTTTGTTAAAAATAGGTGGCCATCCCATGGGTGGTGGTGGAATGGGTTACAGACGTACCTAATGGGTTCAGGAACTGAACCTCATAGTTCGTTTAGCAAAGCAAGTGACAATCTTGTGAAGGTAGTTACACAATTATTAATGTTTTATATATTTTTTATATGTTTATGTTTTATATATTAATGTTGTATATGTTTTTTCACTACCACATATGTCAGTTGCTTAATTTAGAAACTGTACTTGTGGTCGATCTCAAACCCATTGTTGATATGACGACTTATACTGAATTTTGTAACTAGCTCATCAAGATTGTAACTTGCTTAGCTAAATGAATTGTGGGGTTCTGTCTCTGAGCCCATTATGTGCCTCTGTAACCCTTTCCACTACCGCCCACAAGATGGGTATGGGGTGCATAATAATTGAACTAAACTAACTAAACTACTGTAGAGCCATTAACACGTATTGCGTTTCGGGCAGATTCTTAATCTAACATGTAATTTTAAGAAGGTAATTTCTAGCAAAATTAAAAAAATATTTACAGGTATATTGTAAAAAAGTATAAAAATACATTGTAAGAAAGTATTAAAATATACATTTTATAAGAAATTTGACAAAAAAAGTAGTTACATTAAAGTAAATTTAATGGTTCTCAGCAGGTACATTTTAGCATAATTTGAGAATTATTGCAAGATATAATGTAACAAACTATGTGTATAACATTATATAAGATAACAGCAATGATTACAATGGTAAAGTTATATGGCATAGGTACATATATTGGGGAATTGGGTAGCACTAGATACCGTGCGAGTTTAAAGCACTAGGTATGAAACTATGAAGGTGAAGTTAGGCACTCTTTGCTTTTTATTTTGAATAAAGCAAAAGTTGGACAGCTTTACTGTCCTGTAAAGTAATGTACAGAAATGCACTAGTACAGGACAGTATTTCTGTCCTGTACAGAAATACTGAACAAGTTAGAGGATGTTGATCATGGATATTTTCTTCAGAAGATCAGATGTAACACAAACAAGGAGCAACGGTTGCAAGCTCAACAAGCCACAATGTAGGACTGAGAACAGGAGGTGCTTTTTCAGCCGCAGGGTTTTTAATCCATGGAACTGCTTACCCGCCGAAGACGTAACTGCCAAAACTTTGCCGAGTTTCAAAATGTACATGGAAAAGATCAAGGCAAATGGGAAGGGGGGGGGGGACCTTCGACAAGCCGCCGGCTTCCTGTCTTCGTCGAGGCCACTAGGGTTAGTGGCTCTCGGGTAAATCAGGTAAGTTAAGTGGCTTAGATTAGAGACTGTTCTTGGGGTCGGTCTCTAACCCCACATAATGGGCTCAGGGACTGAACTCCACAATTCATTTAGCTAAGCAAGTTACAGTCTTGAAGAACTAGTAACAAAAATCAATGCACATGGTCACATCAACAATGGGCTCGAGACCGACCGCAAGAAGGTTCCATATTAAGTAATTGACATATGTGGAGAGCTAGTGTCATAATTGGTATGTTTGTCCTGCACACCGCCCCCCATCTAGTGGGCAGCGGGGGATAGGTACAATCACTTAGTTACTACCTACAGTTAGCAAACTGGGGATATTTGGCTAAGATTTCTGGTAGCAGATCATATTGAATGAAATATTAACACATATCTTTAACATTTTTTTTTTATCAGAGGAAATATGCAAAATAAATCCAAAGTCCTGTTATAAATTCTCAATTATGAAACACAAAAAATTCAAAAATAAAATACATAAGTGCGTTCATAATTTGCAGGTTTATTTTTTTCCCCCGATAAGGCAGGTTTTGTTGCAAGTTATAGACATAATAAATTACTGTTTAAGATTTTTAAGCACAACAAGAGCTCGTCTTACGGTAAAAGTGAATTATTTACAAAAGCAAGCTGTTTGTTTTCAAGAAAGATAGCGCCTGCGCCTCCCATAGCGCCGCGAGATTCCTTGGGGATATACCTTACCTTTTAAATCTCTCTTCTCTTCGCTAGTTCGCGCAATTTTTCAGTAAAACTTCAATAAGTGTTTGGATTAATTAAGAAATTAAATTATCTTCTTTCGTTTACGCTTTGAGTTAACACCTAATTTCATTGCACGAAAATAAATAATGCAGTTACTTTCTTGAGGGTACGTTGGAATATTGGAACTTTATTTGGGGTCTACCATTTTGTTGTGGAACAAACACTCTCGAAGTTCAGACCCTAGATTAAAATGGTTGGAGGGTTTAGGAAGGGGTTAGACACATGAAGCCAAAACAGGAAGACCCAAAGGAAATGGTGGGGGGCTGCTGTGTTTGTTCGGACGAGAATGGCTGGACGGAGAATCCTCTCGTGTACTGTGATGGTCAGGGCTGTAACGTCGCCGTACACCAAGGTACTCTCTGCCTCCTTCAGCCAGCCGGGCTCTATTTCTGTGCATTTGGGAGGGTTAGAGTGGTGGGCGGTGACTGTCACGGTGCTGAGTGCTTGGTGAGAGTAAGTACGGGGAGATTAAGGCTAGCGAGGGACGGGGTCTGGCATAGCATCAGTCTTCCCCCCTAGCTCCAAGGTGGAACTGTCTCTTTCTTTGAAAGTCACCCTAATTGAAAGTGTTATGCCATGTGTTTTTGGCTTGAGAGATTATCAAGGATGTGTTTAAATGACATGTGCACATGTAACACTACAATGTTTTTTTCCCAGCATTGTGCTGTAACACTTACATTTTTGTCCAGTATTAAAAATGATCTTACACATTAAGAAGTAAGACGGCAACTACACCAAGACGTAGGTGATGTTAAGCTGTGCGTTGCTGGCTAGCAGCACGAGATGATAGTTACCACTCTGGCAGGCACTTTGATTGGTCCACTCACATTTTTAAAGTGATGTCATGAAGTTGATGACATTTTACATTGTTATTTTTTAGGTTAGGTTATTGTAAATTAGGTGGAGTTGTCAGGTACAGCACCTGCACCTGCCAACTCGGAGCTCACTAAAATAACTGTCGGTGTAGTCTTTGCAAGCACAGATGACCCGAAACTGATAAGGGGCCAAAGTGCCACTTGCTCTACAGGCTGCCGTGGTCTGCAGGCCGCCCATGGTCCACTTGCTGCCGATGTATTGTTTGAAGGCACAGTGGGGAAAAATGAACCTAACTTAACCTAACCTAAGAAATAAATAAATATATGTAAACTGCAGAACAAATTGAAACTGCTGGAAGTGTCTATCATACATTGGATATATATTTTGAAGTCAGGTTATGCTCTGTGGACTCCGATACCCCTCCCCCCCTCACACAGCAGCTTGTGGACTGAGGGTGGCCTGTAGACCACGGCGGCCTGCGGACAATTGTAGCACTTCGGCCTCTGTTGCTGAGACTGGACATGTTGGGAGTTCAGTACTATCCAGGACTGCCGACATCCGTCCTGGCCCGTACTTACGCACTAGTACTGGTACTGGTACGTAAGTTCTTAAATACCATTTTGTTATGGGAGTTTTCAGTTTGAAATTTCTCACAGGAGTTTCTTGCCATATGTTATTTCACTATACAGTGAGGAGGCACATTTTCTGGAAGATTTGGGGGACTTCCCTTGCCCAATTGCAACCAAACATTGATGCATTTGCTTGAGTACAGTTCTTAGACTATAGACAATGTGAAGTTAATAGTTATACAAACAATAATGTAAAACTGAATTATTCCATATGCAAAAAGCAATATAATGGGTATAGTATATCCAAGAAGGCTAATTGTGTTGAAGAGGAGCGTGAAACTTTTTTTACTGATCAATCTGTGTGGTATGATCACAACAAAGTTCTGTAGGCTGGGTGTTGAGACCCCATGCTGGTGTATTTCAGTGCAGTACTGGCTCGTGCTTATTCACTAGTACTAGTGCATAAATTAATAGTTAATATACCCTTGTAAATCTTTACAAATCGTAGTCACCTTCTTTCACGAGGGTGGAGGCAACACTCATGGGTCACTGGGTGTTTTCTCCACATTTATCATTTTCTTTGGCTTTTGCACATTCAGTTGGTTTATTTAATAAAATGTGTTTCTTCTGAAAGCTTTGAAATTAATTACACTATGGTGAATAATGAATGTGTAAAACTTTAGCTTGAAAATGTCAATAATAAAGTGGTGCCTCTTAATCTAGAATTTTAGGCAGTGGATATTTTACTGGATAAAGGCTAGAGGCAGAGAATGGTTATTTCCGGTAGCTGCTTTGATTGGATGAAGTATACTTTGTGTGATGTTCACTACCAGAGATGTCGTGTCATATCATGAGAAAATGCAGTGAACATTGCTGGCATTTTGTTTTATTTAAGAGCTTCTGAAGCACTTGTTGACCTGACCAAATAAAATATCTTGCCGTAACCTAAGGAATAGTTAATTATATTCAAAAATATTTATTGTTACAGGTACTGTATATTATTTGTTTAGGGTTAAAATTTAATTATTGGAGCATCACTTTATTATTAGAGACTTTTAACTGGAATTTTTTGAAGTTGTTTACACTATTTCATGTCAGTATTCTATATCATAGTCTAAGACTGTATCCAGTCAAAAATTTTCTTTCTCCTCATTGTCCATACACTGTGGGCAGAAGGGGATAAAATTTAGCTTGACATAGCTGAACTTAAGCTATTCATTCCTAAGCTAAAGAAACACAAAAAGATTTATCCATAGCATTATCAGCCCACTTAAAATATTTTCTATATTGTACTGCTCATTGATGTCTTTCTTCAAGTATGAACATAGATATAAACAAGGGCATTATAATAGACCTGCTTCAGTGTTCTTGCTCTTTATGTTCTTATATAGGGGAGGAAACAGAATTTTATGTCAATTAGGTAAAGCTTTCTTTGTAAATAATTTGAAGTTTATTCACCACTTCCTTTAATGTTTGGATTTTAAAGAAGACTATGTTATAGACTATTAGTTTTGTAATATTCACTTAATGTAAGCAAAAGGATTTAAGGTTTTTAAATATTTATGAAAGTAAATTTTTGTTTATGTAAAATATATTTTTAAAGATTTTTTTAATCTTTTTAATAAGAAGTATTAATGATGCATGACTACTACAGACTAGCATAGTGAGTAGTTCACCAGTCATTATGCATTTTGGAAATTAGGTTGGGGAGGAAGGTATTTGTAATACAGTACAGTATTTACTTAGTTTTACACTCATTAATATTACTGTTTACCACTCTCATGGGGGACAAGGTACAAACATGAAAATATAGAAATGGATGATAGAAAAATAGGGTTGATAATATATTTTTAACAATATACTGTATCTAGCAAAATTACATAGAATGAATTTAAAAAAAGAGCGTAATGAAAATGTTAAGAAACTAAATTATATTCAATTCTTCATTGCATTATGTATGGGAAATCAGTGGTGGCTCACTAGTGAAATACCCAAAGTGGTATCCCTGCTGTTTTATTAATTAAGGGTGATGAATTCCTTATAAATTGATACATATTGGTACTATATATTGTCATTCATTCCAACTCACTATTGTTTTATCTGCAAATATTTATGACTCATTATTGAGGAATGTACTACAATGGAGTAGTAGTGATGAATGAGTGGTTGAGAGCAGAGTGGTGCAACAAGTATTTTAGAGTGAATTTGAGAGGAATAGTAAAGGCATTTGCAAGAGGATAGGTTGATATGGAGAGTATTTGAGAGACCTTGGCATGCCCACAAAGCATGAAAAGTGGCTTTATATAGACTTCTAATTGTATTAATCAAAATAGACCTTTATTGGATGTGCATAGCCTAATGTCATTATTTTGTTTGTGCATTTTATTGTAAAGCCTAATTTTTTTAAAGCTTTTTGAAGAAATGTAAAGAAATAATGCCTCCTCCCTTGAATATCGAAATAACATATATGCCCTTATATGCAATTTCATCCTGAATGCTCCTGTCATGAAATGGTATCCCTTAATTTAAGATAGCTTATGATTTTAGATGGTTTATGATCAGGTTAGATTAAGATGATTTATTGTTAGATTAGATTATTATACCTTTCTGGGGAAGAGCCCCCCCCTGTGGCTTCCTTTAGCTATCTCGCTGAGGCTGCTCCCAACTCAACCTGTCCTCTTACAAAGAATGTCACATTTCGATCGTATGCGTTACATAAGGCCAAAAATTGTATTAGAAAATGGAAGCAGCTCGCATAAATGACATGCTGTTCCGTTTTGGGTCCTCTGGTAGGTTAGGAGAGGACACTATAATTTGACCGTTTTCTTGACGTTGGGAAACCTTACGAAAATGGGCTGCCCAACTACTAGGTCATATTAGTTGTGGGGTTTTCTGGGCTACCAGGGGACCAGAGCCAGAACCTCGGCCAGGTTTCAATAAGCATTTACACATCTACTTACGAACCTATATATCTTTTCTCAGTCTTTGGTGGCTTTGTTTACATTTATTAAACGGTTTATTAGCATTGAAATTTCCTGGTCAAATAATGTTATTGTTATAAACATCCTCTTAGTGCTTCGGAGCTCATAAACTGTTTAATATACATAAACTGTTTAATAAAAGGGCAAACCCTTTTATGGTTTGCTTCTTTGATCGGGCAGTGCAGGGGGCTACTTGCCCAGGTTTTAGTTCGTAGTCCTACGAACATGGGCTTTTCAGGTCATCTTGCATGGCCTGCAGTGTAGTTGGTCAGTCTTTTTTGGGGTGGGTTGCTTCCAGAGTGGTTTAAATGACCATGTCACTTTGGTGGGTGTCCTGTCTCTTCCTGGTCCTGAAATGGGACTTGCTGGAGTTATGATTCATTCTCGTACTTTTGGGGTTGAATCCTTGCCCCATTTTCTAGATGACCACCTTAGCCCAAGTTTGCCTGGTCTTGGGTGTTTGGATGAACTCCTTGGACCTCTGGGAAGTGTATTTGGGACATTCCTATACTGTACATACTATTCAGGGATTGGCTAGGTTTTGTAGTTGTGTGTGAGCCTTTCTACTTTTGGGAGGTCTTTCCTTTGGTCTGAATCTGTCTCCCTGGTAGTTTTAGCAGATTGGCTTGATTTGTGCTGGTTCATCTTCGGTTTTTGGAAGTTTGTGTTCTGGCCTACCTCAATGACTGGTTGGTGTTGGCTCCTAATCAGTATGTATGTCTGCTAGCCAGGGATCTGGCTAGCTTCTCAGCTCGGGTTCAGATTCCTGGTAAACTGGTGGAAGTCAGTTGGTTTCGTCCCTGGTTCGGACTTGGCTGGACCTCATTTGTAATTCCAATTTCAGGGTGAGCCCTGGTGGCTCCCTGATCCCCTCCCTCCTTCCCTTCCTTGTAGGTCGTCGATTGGGGTTTGTGTGTGCATCTGTTCCAAAACTGAGCGCTCATCCCCCTGGAGGGTGTGGGCTCCTTTTTTCCCCTCTCAGTTGGGTGGAGGAGATGGAGTGAACGAACACATGCTAGTTTCAAGAGATTTGATAGTTTACATAGTTGGGGAAGCTCATTGGGTGGGTTCTGAGGCTTGGGTCTCTCTTGAACTCAGTATGTCTGTTTTGTTTTGCTGACTTTCTGGATACATTCCCTGGTGAGGTGACACTCATTTTTTCCCTGTGCCTCTTTGAGAGGGGTCAGGATCTGGGTCCCCACTTTTTTGTTTTGTTTTTGCCTTTTTCTTAAGCTTAGATTTTTTATGGTACAGTATATGCTGTAAATTTCATCAACTGGTTACACTTTTGCACTGGTGGCCTTCGGTGAAACCAGCATAGTTGGACACTTAAGCAAAAGGGAAACACATCCAGGTAATGATACAGAACATGACAGATGAGGCTATGCAATCGTAATTTTGTGGGCATTAAGTAGGTATAATTCCAGTACTGCATTGGCCTATGTAGCATAGTAAAGACACATTTAAAGAATACTCCTCCCCAAAAGTTGGGCAATGCAGTCGTTAATTTTTTTGGGTGTTAAGTAAGCATAATGTAACCGTATAGGCCTATTTAGCATAGTAAAGACACATTTAAAGAAGGCTGCTCTCCAAAAGTTAAGTGAATAGCTTGCAAGATGCATTGTATGGCATGGGTCATATTGACATATAAAGGATATTGTCAATACACCGGAGCATACTGTGCATTTTTATTCATAACGTACTTGCTTATAAGCATGTCATGTTACACTTTTAATCTTTGCCTTGAGTTTAATAAGTTATTTGGTGTAATGTGACAGTCCACACAACAAATTTTATTCTCCTGGCAAGAAGTGTAAACACCATTGTTTACACTTCATAGTGAGACAGCGTGTTGGGTAGAGATTTTATCCGCAGACAGAGTTTTGCCATGAAAACTTTGTCACTGAAGAAAAAACAAAACCGATTTATAGAAGACATTATTTGGAAATAGATTATCCAATAATGTTTTACCTGTACTATCAGGGCCTGAACATACAGCATATGATAAAAGCCAATACAGGGTAAATGTTAGAATACAGTCTACTTTCAGTTTGGTATTTCCCTTCATCATTGTCAGCCAGCACCTTATGCTTTTTTTAGTTAGCTTTGTTGCCTCTACTATACAAAGCTTGTATTGTTTAATATCTTCAAATAAAATTTCTACCAAATGTGGTGTATTTCACTAGCATTCTGGGCCCAACCACTTGGACTGGACGGTAGACCGACGGTCTCGCTTCATGCAGGTCGACTTTCAATCCCAGACTGTCCAAGTGGTTGGGCACCATTCCTTCCTCCCCCCCCCCCCCCATCCCATCCTAAATCCTTATCCTGATCCCTTCCGAGTGCTATATAGTCATAATGGCTTGGTGTTTTCCCCTGATAATTCCCTCCCTCCCTCCCTCCCTCACTAGCATTCTGTTTCATAATAAAAACTGTTTTTAGATTAGGTTAACGTAGCTTGTTGAAACAATGTGGGAATCCTGTGTACATTTCAAAGTTGGGGGAAAGATTTTGTGACAATTTTTTTTTTACATATTGAGTTTAGGCCTGTAAATGCAAAGGACAATTGTAGCTAATATGATAGGGGCACAGGTAAAAATGGCAATGAAATGGAATGGATGCGAGGTACGTAATGCCTAGTTAGAGGACAGTGGCAGAGCGAATATATAAATATGGTAAGCAAATGAATGTTAAGTATAATAGATTTGTTATTCCAGTTAGCTTTAGACCATATACTGGAGAGTAGATGTTCATTTGATTAATTACTAGACTTGCTTATACTGTAAATAGCTGATTGCAGTGAACACTGCAATCAGCTATAAAAGAACTGCACATGAATTTGTTTCAATCAAGTTTGGTTCTTAATAAAAAATGTACAGTTAGCCATGTGAGACATACTTTCCCTATTAGATTAGGGGAATTTACTTTATTAGCCCCAATCTATCAAAACATTATTTAGGGAAATTCATTTTCATGAACATCCACCTAGTAAACTTTTCTGTATTTTTCAGCCTGTTATGGTATAGTTACCGTGCCTACTGGAGCTTGGTTCTGTCGCAAGTGTGAGAGTCAAGAACGGGCAGCTAGGGTTGTAAGTACCATGAGCTCCTCTCAAGACTGTGTTGTGGTGAATATTGTTATAATTTGTTGATGTACCCTGTACATAAGGTTGATACAATAATTAATGTTGATGTGTCTTGAGGGTTGTGTGGCTGGCATTGATCACAAGAACACTTAATATCAAAGCTTGCCAAGATAATCTTGTTTAAATAGGTCATCCAGAAATTTATTTTGTATATACTGTATATTACTTTGGTTAACCCTTCTGCTGTGAGAGTCATCCAGGGGTGACTGTGGCATATCTGACAAACCTACGCTACTTATCTAGAGAGGATTTAAGATAACACATAAGATTTTAAAGCTTCCACAGGTACACATATCTCACATCGGCTTTTTCAGGCCTCCAGTAACCATCCCCCCTAATCTTGAAAAAAAAAAAATCCCGAGTCCCTCACTTTTGTTCTAGGGTTCCGGTCTGTCTGTCTCCCCCCCTCTCTCTCTCTCTCTCTCTCTCTCTCTCTCTCTCTCTCTCTCTCTCTCTCTCTCTCTCTCTCTCTCTCTCTCTCTCTCTCTCTCTCTCTCTCTCTCTCTCTCTGTCTATATCTATTTCTATCTATCTAGATCTCTATCTCTACTTATCTCTTTAGCTGTCTCTATATATCTAGTTATCTCTAGCTTTCTGTATCTCCACCTCTCTTCTTTGTCCCTACCCTAGTCCTCTCTTCCCCTTTTCCCATGCTTTCCCCCTCAAGAAACACTGAAACGAATGTATGTCTCGGATGTTTTGCTTTTACACACAGAAAGCACAATACCGTGAAGCATCAAATGAACAAATCCACAAGGGCCGTGACGAGGGTTCGAACCCTCGTCACGTCCCTTGTGGATTTGTTGTTTTGCTTTTCCTTCTCTTGTCTTCTCTTCTCTTTTCCTTTTTTCATTATTGTTTCTTTTCGGTAATAACCATATTAATCACACACCATGTTTTACATTTGATAAAAGACTCCCTGAAAATGACCCAAGTGTGTTTATAATTACTATAGTAATGTTTCCTAAAGTATTTAACTTAGGTCTACCCTGATTAGCCTATGTCCATCCCATACCCTAGACCAATTTCCCTACAAATTTGAGTGAGACTAGTCCCAAGCATCTGGCCTCCAACTTTGGATAGGCAGACATTTTCTCTCATAGTTATAGATATGTTAAGCCCAAATATTATAACTGCACATAGCACACATTTGGCCTGTAAATAGATCTTAGCTGTTTTAAAAAAAAAGTTCAATGGTTCTTAGCATGGCTTCCCTGAATGTTTGGTCACCAGATGGTGATGCACCAGCCATGATCTGCTTCTTTTTACTAAGGCCCTGGAGAAGGAACCCAAGAGACTTGGGATTTTGTCCAAATATGGCAAATAATTGGCAGAGGTCTCTAGTGTCAAATGACATCTCCCCGTCCCTTGAATGGGTGGGGTATTTTAATAAAATGAGATATCTTAAATCACCTCCAGGCAGTTGGAGCATACTTGGAGCATACATACATTGGAACAGTGTAAGGATTAAGAAAATGGCTGTGTGCACAATCTTCTTTTTAGAGGATGGTTGGACATTCAGTATAATCTTGCCTACAAATTTGCCACTGACTATTTCCAGACAAAAGTGTAATTCTGTACCGAATATATATAAGCTGTATTGACTAATTCTGTATAATGGATTGGTATTAAATCAATGGTATCATATTTGTTTCTTCTTTGCACAAAGAAATGATAATGTATGGAATGAATGAAGGTTGCTATTGCATACATAAAGAAATGGGGAAAAGCCAATAAGGATGGAAGTCTCGGACATAAGACGACAGCATGTGAACATCCCTCATGCACCCACAAAAAAAAATCTTGACTGCCCCTAACCCTGAGTCTTACAGAGGGGGTCACATGCAATACTTAGGGCAAGGCATCCTACACAGGAAACTGCCTCTCAAGAACAAGCACCCAAACCCAGCAAGGAAGGTAACCCTGATCAGACAGAGGTAATGCCAGAGGGCACCTTGGGAAGCAAATTATGCTCATGCTGTTCAAGGCAAACACTTACTGAAGGTCCACACAAGTGAGGCATATTAACATATTCACGTGAAGTAAAAGCTAGAATCAGAACAGACATATGCAAATGGCTCCTGGTAGACAGAGTCCAAAAGATGGCTAACAATTACAGTATAGAAAGAAATATTTCTGGGATTTTTTTAATGCATACTAGATACATTTATCAAATTTTAGATGTGCATTTAGGAAGTTAAATCTACCCCAGACCGCTATTCTTGGTCTTCTGCTGTCATTGCCTTCTGGAGAACGATACTAGGGATCCACGTTCTGGGCTACCCCAGTGACTGGCTACTTTTGACCTGCAGTTGTTTGATTTGTCTGCTGACCAGGGATCTGTTTCTTTCCCAGCTAACCCACTTCTTTTCCCAGCGAGACCCCACCAGGGTCTAGTCTGAGTTGCTAAGGCTAATGTCCCTTTCTCTCCTTTGTTCGACCTTGTTGAGGCTGCACCTCTGTGCACCTGGCGGTGCGGATACTCTGCTTTCCTGTTGGGAATTTTTGCCGCTGTTATTAGTCTGGCTTCCACTTGTGGGATGGGTTTCCACCGAACCACAACTGGCTGAGAATGCTTTCCTTCTCCAGTTTCCAGGGTTGTGTAGCACATACAGTGTTTTGCCTGATGTGAGTTTTGTGTTATCTTATGCTCTTCTGATTTTTTAGGTGCCCTCTCCTTAGGCACTCAGACTGTTCCCAGTTGTGGTGCTGAGCATCTGGAGATTGGCCTGTTTGTCTACACGAGGCCCTGGCAGCTTCCAGTTTATGGGATGCCATTTCTTGAGGGGCTCATTTTGCTTGTCCTATATATGGTGGGCTTAGCTTTACCTCTTTCTTGGTCAAGCTGGTATTTTTTCCTAGGTTGTCTAGGTTGAGGACCCTGTTTTTCTGGCGACTGTGTGGCCAGTTTGGCCCTAATTTCTGGGTCTTCTTACCTATTGTCCTATCCTAACTCTTCTTGTTGATCAGCTTCTTCACAGAATTGGTAGCATGGCCAGCCTCAATTGTTTGAGTATCTCCCACATTCTTCGTGTATTGGGTTTCTTGGTCTTGTGCCCTGTCTCCTGCATCAAAGTTGGGTTGCAAGCTTCTTAGTGTCACATTGGTGTCTTCCTGGCATCACTGTGTAGTGGCTTGTCCTGTTCCTCTCTTTCACATATATCCTTTGAGTTATTCACCATTGGTTTTGCTTTTTCTGTCCTTGTATTTTCTGATGGTTGCCTGTACTGTTCAATCCATCTTGTTTGGCCATGGCAGAGCCTCTCTCATTATATTTGGGTGGGGATTTGTCTTCTCTCTTGTTGTCTTGGATGTTCAATGTGCTCCAACTGGATTCTGCTATGCACTCTGTCCTCTAACTGTGGTTCAGTCTTTTGTGTGCTCCTCACACTGTTAGGACTGTGTTCCTTTTGTCACTGTTGTTTCTATTTTCCCTTTTTCCAGGTGTCTATGGTTTCAGTTCAGCCAGTCCACTGTTTGTGTCCACTCCATGTGTGTGTGAATATTTGGATCTTCATGTGAGAATAACTTGAGTTACCTCATCCCTTTGTGTGTATTTATACCTCAGTAAACTTATTTCAATTTCAAGCATAGAACGAAATGACTCACTTTTCTGGTAAGCCTCCAGTGGCTTTCTATACCTGCCACCCTGTTTTCTTCTTTCTCGTGGGGCTATGTTTTTTTTTACATGTGTGTGTGGTGTGAGGCTGACTGAAACTTCTAATAACCTGGGCTGCTATCTAAGGTTGATCATAGCTCCCTAGTAACAATCTTTTGCAGTGTTTATGTATGGTGCCTAATTTCCTGCAAGTAGTTGCTTGTTTTGTTGCATCTATGCTTTCAAATTTGGGTTTCTCCAGTTTTGTGGTTGATCTCTGATCATCTGCTTCCTATGCCTTGTAGAGAGAGCCAGATTCTGATTGTGGCTTCCAGTAGGCCACAATTTGAGGCCTATCAGAGGCCACACCAGGCCTCTGATAGGCCTCAGAGGCCTGGTGTGTTGAGCCCCGGGACTTGGTGGTACTAGAGTTAGGCTCGGGGAATCACTGGAGGCCAACCAGAGAAGGGTTTTTCATTACATTCAACATTTGATTTTTCCTCTTATATCTATAACATTTTTAGAAGTCTGACGATATGCCTGATTTCCTGAACCAAGTGTTTATATTGAAAGATCACATTAGTGTTAAAATTGTGTGTTAATTCTCACGTGTAACGGGAACTTGCTGTGAATCTTGATACGGTATGTACTGTATAAACTTAATTTTTAGTAACAATGTTAGTACTAATTACTGTATTATTTAGGATGAAAACGAGAATGGTAGTAGAGACTACTTGGCAACTCAATAGTCATCTTGCAATTTCTCCATTCTCTCATGCAACCTATTACACCATGTAATACAATTTTTGTCCCTGGGTAGTTATTTTCTCATTGCCTATTCTCCAAAGTATAGAAAATGGCCATTATTCTCCTCAAATTGGCCTTTGATCTCACAGCTCTAGATAAGGAGTTGGCAGCCTTTAAGTAACTTTCAAGATGTCTTTCCTAAGCTCTTTGAGGCGAAGGGCAAAACAAAGATTTAGGGTAATAATGATCATTTTCTATACTTTGGAGGCATAAGAAATAAAATAACACTTACTATCCAGGGAATATATAATATAAATTTAATACTCAGTGTTGACTTAATTCTTTGTTAAGTAGTTATGTAGTGTTCTGTATTATTCTTATAGTGCTCTACAGACATTTTCTTCAAGCATTTAAGACTGCTATTATTAGTATTACATAGCTAATGGGCATCATTTAATTCCTTTCAGGTCTTTTTAAATATGCAGTTCCTGTTTTGTCATTCAGTATCTCCACGCTCCTTATTTAAATGTTAGATGATCAAATGACCACTCCTACCTGCATGTGAAATACTCTGTTGTCGATGTAGTGATCCTCTTCTTTC